CATTAACATAGACATAGACATGGACATGGATATGGACATGGACATGGACATGGACATAAATATAAATATAGATACAGTGTTACACCTTGCTGCTTATCCCTTTGTCTTTTGCCTCCCTAATCTCCCCAGGATGTGGATTTAGAGAAGAAAACGGTGAGCTTGTCTCCTGGTACTGACACTCTTGAAATGTTGGTCCATATGGATGAGGAAAGCCACATGTGCCCCCTCTTAACAAATTCTCTCCTGAGACCTTTATTAAAACCTCTTCTTTTGCAGGAAATAAAAATAAAAATAAAAATCCTTCTCCCCAGTCTGGATTCCACGATCACTTCTGGGGAGAAATACAAACTCCGAGGGTCTTTAAAAAATGTTTGCTCCTCAAAACTGGTCAGTCCAAGCCTCGTCAGAAGTACAGAGTTACACTCTATGTCACACCCCTGAAAATGGCTAGGACCTTCACTTGAAATGAAGAAAAGGCTATGACCAAACTTAATTCTTATTTGGATGGAATTTTTGTCTTCCTCCTCACCTGGAGAGATTGGTGCTAGAGCCACCTGAGGACTAATTTTTTTCTTTGGAAGTTCTGGAATGTTGATCTCAAAAAGTATTTTACATTTTATGATCTTTTCTATGTTCAAGATGCCCATGAAGTTTTCTAAAATTGTTTTGGAGCAGAGTGATGTTGGAAGGCTTGAAAGAGTATGCCAGTGTGGACCTCTCTCCCTCAGTAGAAATGCCTTGGATATACATTAATGTTAAATTCACTAAAATAGTTTTTATCAGCCTAAATATCAGAGTACATTATTATTAATAATGCATATATACATGTATATACACGCATCTATTATACATGCCACACATACGCGCACACACACACGCACACACACACACACACACACACACACACACACACACACATATATATATATATATACATATATATATATATACATATATATATATATATATAGCCCCCTCCTTTGGCACAAAATGGATATCAAATGAGACTCAGGTTGTCAGAGGCCAAACAGTATTTATCTTTATTTTAACATTTACTTCCAAAGTCATTGGGCCTAAATTTCAGAAAAAACAAACTTATTTGCCAACTAACCCAAGATGGCAGGGAAGATTGTCATATGGCTGCCCTGTTTCTGGGTCTATAACTTTAATGAATAAGGAAGCATCATTACCCTTCCATAGAAATGCAAAGCTGATGATAAGCAAATGATTACTGGGGCATTTGAGCCATTTACAAAGAGTTTTATATATACACACACAAACATACACACATATATACATGGATACATACACACACAAACATGTTTTCTCTGTCTAATCCAAATGTTTCCTAAGTAAAAACAAACATACATGCATACAATGAATTCATTGAATTAATGGTTAATAAAAAATTTGTGCATCTATTTTAATAACTGTGGTGGTAACATGTTTCTAGGAAAGAAAAAAGATTATTTTCTTTAACTCTTAGGGATCGAACAGTTTAACAGAAAAGTTAAGAAGAGATTTATGTAAGAAAGTACAAAAGAAGTTATTCATTAGTGGCTTCTTAGCCTCTAATGTGTAGGTTCTTTCTGAGAGGACAGGGTATGAGTGGAGCTTCCCAAAGAAGGCTGTTTGCCTTTGTATATCTCAGAGGCCATAAGACATGTTGGTCCCCTCTGGGCAAGAGTATGCCTTTTCTATCATTTCCCACCCCTTTTGACCAATTCAAAACAGCCCATTTTGGGAAGACCCACCCAAACCCTGTCCTTGTAGAAAAAAAAATACATACATGTGTAAAAAGTCAGAGAGAGAGAGAGAGAGACAGAGAGAGAAGGGGGGCAGGGTAGTACCACGACTGATTTTTTTTTTTAAGTTAGTGTAATACATATATAGGGTTGCATGCTAACAAGTATTTCTGTGTAGAAGGGATTCAATCTTTGGATGTGAAAATAATGTAGCAGTTGCCTTCTTTTGATCTTTCTCCTGACCTCTCCTCCTTCATGGCCCAATGTAAAGACTGACCTAGTTGATCATACCACTTGGGTGAGCTGGAAGTCACCAAGTCTCAACTGGTACCCACAGTCCTGCTGGTGGAATAAAAAATGACTGACCTTGCCATCACCCATGTCACTGAATCCTATGGCCCTCTGGGTCTGACAATCTACTTGTCACTAGCTCCCCTCAGAGGATTTCTAGTCAGTCCCCTGAGAAGTGGTCAATGGGACTCACCATCGGTCCTGCTGTTCCACTGTCAGAACTTGCAGCCCTTTCCATCTGCCCTGCAGCTGCTGACTTCTCTCATATGCTGTATCTGGCACAATGAGATCATGAGGTTTTGAGAGCAGGAACTATCCTGATTGTTTTTCTACTTGAATCCCCAGCCCCTGGCACAGTCTTGGTGAAAGGTGTTTAATAAATGCTTTTTAAAAACTCATTCACTCATTCATTCTTCATGTTTGAATCTTTCTTTCTGAATAGCTATTCCCTGAAGTGACTGTCTTAGAAAGAAGAAAGATGGCTCAACATTAAATATGTGGGGGGAAAAGTTTGGCATATTTATTTTCTCAAATATTTTAATATTTAGAGCAATTAGAAGAAATAAAGCATAGGAATAAACATTAGTAAGAATACGTACTTGTCATAGCTCTTAACAAAAGGAATGACTGTAAAATAAAGAGCTTTTGTCTGTAACACCTCTTCCTAAGAAAAGTTCCTAATGGCGTTCTCCCCTAGCCTTTCTCAGCGATGCCTCTTGGATCCCTGTTCAATAGTCAAGTCCTCTATAAATTAGTAAACTGAGGTGCTAAAACCTGCTACATCGAAAATGGGAGAGGCAGGGTTCTTTTCAGATGAACTAGAAAAAGCTATCGTGAGCAGCTGGGCAAAGCATAGAAAACATCATCAGGAAAAAAAAGGAAAAGTTTATTTTCCTTCTCTTGATGCACCTTTCAATCTCCTCTTATAACTTTGAATATGTGCTCTTTCAGATCTCCATACTTCCTTTCAGTTTTAAGTATAAAAGAATATCCAGAAATCTTCCAGGGAGATAGGCCTTGAAGTGTTCCAAGGAATGTGAGAGCAGAGACAGCAGACATGGGAGTGGAGATGACAGTGGAGATGAGAGTGAAGATGAGACTGGAGATGAGAGCAGAGAGAGAAGAAATGAGAGCAGAGAAGAGAGTGGAGATGAGAGCAGAGATGAGAGTGGAGATGAGAGCAGAGATGAGAGTGGAGATGAGAGCAGAGAGAGCAGAGATGAGAGCAGAGAAGAGAGTGGAGATGAGAGCAGAGAGAGCAGAGATGAGAGCGGAGATGACAGTGGAGATGAGATAGGAGATGAGAGTGGAGATGAGATCAGAGATGAGGATGGAGATGAGAATCGAGATGAGAGCAGAGAGAGCACAGATAAGAGTGGAGATGAGAGCAGAGATAGCAGAGGTGAAAGTGGAGATGAGAGCAGACCTTCCTCCATGTTCAGATTTTAGAGGTGAGCTCAGGCAGAAACTTCTCAGTTTGTTCTTGTGGTAAGACATGCAGAATTGGCTCGAGTTTTCCATGTGCTTATTTCTAGTCCTGTAACCTTGGGCAGCTCATTTACATTCTCTGAAGCTCCTATTTTAAACACCTTTACTAGCCATATGACTGAGCAAGTCTCTTCACTTTTCTGAGCTTCAGTGTCCTCATCTGTAATGCAGATAAACAAGAGCACCCACATCCTTGTTGTGACAATCAGGGAGATAAGAAAAGTAAGGAGCGTTACAAATTTTAAAGGGTTATATAAATCCTAGATATTTATATCAATGATTAGTATCAATTATTATTAATTATAAATATAATTAATAATAATCAACATAAACATGTAATATTAACTACAACCTTCTGTTGACAACCTATGCTTCTGTCCCATATTCTCCAGGGCTTGGGATATATACCCAGAGTTTTTTATTTTATTTTTAGTTTATGGAATAAAACAAGCATTTTCATAACATAGTACAATAAAAAGGTGATTGTACATGAAACCACAAATCTACTATGCACAATGTGCTCTTCCCTTCAAATACACAATAAAATCATCATGTTTTTTTCTTGTTTTTCTTCCCTCCCTCCTCTTGCCCTAGAGATGGCTACCATTGTACACAAATATATGTGTGTGTGTTTGTGTGTATATATACACACACATACATGTACATATATACACACATCTGTGTGTATAAAAGTATTCTATGCATACTTATATTTATCAGTTCTTTGTCCAGATGCAGATAACATCTTTCTTCATATGTCCTTTATAGTTAATTTGGGTATTTGTAATAGACAAAATACTTTATTTGCTCAAAGTCCTTCTTAAAACATTGCTTAAAACATTCTTTAAAAAATTGCTGTTACTGTGTACAATGTTCTCTTGGTTCTGGTCATTTAGTTCTTTTTTATTTCTTGCATGTCTTTCCATGTTTTCCTAAAATCAATTAAGCTCATCGTTTCTCATAGCACAGTAGTATTCCATCACAATCATATATCACAACTTGTTCAGCCATTCCCAAATGATGGACATTCCTACAATTTCTATTTCTTTGCCACCACAAAGAGAGCTGCTATAAATGTTTTAGAACATATACATTCTTTTCCTTTTTCCCTAATCATCTTGGGAAATAGATAAAGTAGTGGCATTGCTGGGTCAAAGGGTATAGATAGTTTTATAACTCTTTGGGTATAATTCCAGATTGCTCTCCAAAATGTTTGGATCAATTCATGATTCCACAAACAATAAATTAGTGTCCCAATTTTCCCACATCCCCTGCAACGTTTGTCACTTTCTCCTTCTATCATTTTAGCCAATCTAGTATATATAAAGTGATATCTCAAGGTTGTTTTAATCTGTATTTCTCTATTCAATAATGATTTAGAGCATTTTTGTTATGATTTTATATATATATACACACACACACACACACACACATATATATATATATATAATATTATTATTATAAATTTTTTCGATTGCTTCATTGGAAAACTGCCTGTTCATATCGTTTGACAATTTAGCAATTGAGGAATGACTTGTATTCTTATTTTCTGGATATTCTACCACCATCCAGTTCCTGCCCTCCTCTCCTCTCTGTCTCTCTCTCTATCTCATTGTCTATGACCCAATCTTCTTCCTGCCCTTCCTGTACTCAGTAGGTTAAACAAACTCAAGTATTTACTATTTATCACGGGTGATTCTGCATCCCCCATCCCCCTGTCTTTTCACCAGGCTTCTGCTGTTCCTGCAATTCACACCTTCCTCACTTCCACATGTCATACTATATCCCTGGTATTTCCGACTTTGCCCTGGCCACAACTTGCTCTTCAACTCCCCCTCTCAGATTTCCTAGTTTCCTTTGATTGATATTCAGCTAGGAGCCACCTTCTATATGAGACCTTTCCTGATCCCACCAGCTTCTAGTGTCTTTTCTTCCCAACATTCACAGTTATCTGCATTGCATCTGATTTATATCTACCTATACGTGTACATGTCTGTCTGCCTCAATAAAATACAAGCTTCTTGAAGGCAGGAGCTACTTCACTTTTTTTCCCTTGGCTCCCTAGCGTCAGCCTGGTGCTTGGCATATAGCAAGCAATCAATATGCTTTGATTGAATAAGGAAGAAAATTCTATTTCCTTTTGTGGTGAGGAAGAAGCTAAGGCCAGGGTGAAGCTGAAGAAAAGAACCCTCAAAAATAGGGCCGCTGCTGTCAGAGTCTTTACAGAATACCGCCCAGACTTATGCTGGTGTATCCAACGTTGTGTCTGTCCGGGAGGAAGCTGCTCTGTCCTCAGAGGGGTCACTGTCATCTCTCAGGGCTCTCTGGAGAACAATTCGGAGGGGCTCCTTCAGTCTCTGATGTCTGAGGCTCCCAATGAAGAAGTAAATGAAGGGGTTGGCACTGCTATTCACACAAGACAGCAGGTAGGAGATCTCATGAAAGATGTGGTTGTACATTGCTTTCCAATTGAAAACAGAGTGATTGATGCCATGAGGGACAGCACAGACAAGGAACACAAGGACAGTCAGCAGGATGAGGATGACCAGTTTTTTTGGTTTATATTTCTGGGCACTCCACAAGATTCTGATGAAGAGAATCAGACTGGACAGGGTCATTAACAGAAGCATTGAAAGCATCAGCGTTCCTGACAACTTACTCACTGTGTCACAGCCAGAAAGGGGTAGTTCTTCTACCTTTACAACACAGTAGTAAACCTTCGGTAGATTTAGTATAGGGGACAGGATCCAGAGCAAGCCACACACAACCATCGGCCCCTTCTTTGGGTGATGATTTCGATACCATATTGGAAAGAGAATAGACAGACAACGCTGAGTGCTGATTGATGCCAATAGGCCCAGACCTACTGTAAAAGTTACATGTAGACCCATATTTGTTAATAAATTGATGATATTTTTAAAGGATGGACGGTATATCAGATAATTGATTACCCAAATTACTTCCAAGAAGAGGTAGGTGAAATCACTTCCAGCTAAATTGAGGACATATAATGAGAAGGGAGTCCTTTTAATGTGAAAAGTGAGAAGCCAGAGAACAATTCCATTCCCCAGCATCCCACAAAGGCATATGAACAGAGTAAGGCATCTCACAAACTCATCAAAAGTAGCGTATGAGCCATTCTGTGAGGCACTGGGCCCAGAAGTCTTCTCAGAATAGTTCTGGGGCATTTCAGTGATGAGGTTGGATGACATCATGGACCTTATGCTTGTGACTCCTGTCAACAGAAATGAGAAGGAAATGCATTAGAAAATTCGTAGCTAGTTAGCACTGATTCTTCAGCTTTACATCCCAAGTAGGGAAGGACTAATATAGAGGCCTATTATAGATGATTTCACAAGCTTTTCTAATTCCTTGTTTCTTCTCACAAGCCCCCACCATCACTGTCAGCTATGGTACCCAGGATGGCACTGAAGGTGTGTTTGCTCTGATTGAGTGACCATCCAGAAATGACTCCATGGCCTGCATATCTTTCCCATCAATGGACTGGTGCTTCAAATTCCACCTTTAGAATTAAAAACAAATTTAAGATTGGGCTTCCCTATCTCACCCAGGTGGGAAGTGTTGGAGCTGCTCATAGGCCCAATCCCACTACCTATCAGCAAGAGAACTTTGACCTACTCAGTTTCTACCAATTCACCTCTCTTTAAGCAGCCTGTGCAGCCTCCACACCCCCATCCTTGAAGGTTTAGCATATCAATGATGCACATAGTGTGAACTCCTGGTGGGTTTTAGCCCTATTGCAGGTCAGAGCTCTTGAGCTCCAAAAATTTATGATCTTCAGCCTCTCTAGGAGATGGAATTATAGGAGTGTGAGCCCATGTCTAGTCACTAATCAACATGATAGCCAGCATTTCTATAATGTTGTAAAGTTTATGAAGTATAAACAAGAAAGATTTTTTTCTCTGTTTCTCCTGTGTTAAGCACAGTGCCTCGACCATAATAATAGAGGCACATTAAATCTTGGTCGGTTGGTTGATTGCTATGAACACCAAGGATCTATACACATCAGGGCTAGGTCTTGCCCTCACTGAAGCCATAATATGGTACTGATCTGGAGACATTCTAAAGACCATCAGTGACTAGACAGGGGCAAAACAGAAAGTAACCCTTGCGATCATCCCTGCCTAACTGGGACTAGGAGAGGAGCCTCCAAATCCAGCCCTGGAAGGGCAGGAAAGGAAGGAATATAAGCAGGGATGTTCCAAAGGAGCAAAGAAGATACAAAGGAAGACAGCCAGTTTGAGCTTTTAAAAGTGCAATCCATGAGACAGAAGAAGGCTGGAAATACAGAGGATATTCACTAAGAAAGAAGGAGTAATAGAATGAAAGCAAGGCTTGTTTCAATTACTAGTAAATTTGAATTGCAAAAAAAAATACGAAAATATTTTTTCAAGTTTTCAAATACGGAGTTACAGGAGCTAAGCCAAAAAATGCACTGTTCGTCATCAGGTGTGATGTTTTGAAAAGTTGAGAATTATTCAGTCAGTCTTATTTGACATGAACCACTTTCTGTCTCCAATCATTAGAAGGTTGATATGAAAGGAATTCCATTTGTTTTGCTCTTCCCCAGGGGGTACAAGTAGAGTACTGCAGAAATTATAGAGCAGTAAAATTAGGCTTGACGGAGGGCATGGTAGAAAGCAAATACAAAGACTTGTAAACTTATAGTCATCCAAATGAGAATGGTTTTCCTGGAGAAGGGATGGATCCCTTGTGTTGTAGTTTAGGTGTATTCTTCTCCCACTTCACAGCAGTCAAGGCTTCAACTACATCTTCTAATTTCTGAAGGATCTCCACTCTATTTTTCTCTGATTTTTTTTCTGTACTAACATCCCATTGTCTATAATCTGTACTTTGAATCTTCCACACCTGAAGCTTCAGTTTCCTAGCTAATTGTCACCTCTCTCCCATGCCTGTGATTACAGAGGTGGAAACCTATTAAAGCCACATGAAGAGGTACCCCTCCTATCAAATACCTGAGCTGACCTTATCCAGGACTTGGAGGTTAACTCAGGATTCCCAATATAGGAAAGTAGAAGTCCTGGGAAATTTTTCTTCCAATACCATCATGGACTTCTTCCTTCTGCTATGGCCACAAGAATATCACATCTAAAGCTCTCTGACTGGATCTTGAGCCTGCTGATTTATAGATTTCAGGTGGAGGTAAAAGGTTCCAAGGTCCCCTTCCTGTGTTACCTTTGTCACCTTTGATACTTCCTTAGTTATCTCCAGTTTAGTCGTGTATGAAAGTAGCAGTGGGGGTGAAAAATCATATCCCTAGTACAGCAGTGTTCTCTTCTAGGACACTGAGGTAGTGAATGGGACCTGGGGATCCCATTTGTGGGGGGAAAGAGCCTGATTCAATTTATAAACTAGAGCTGAGGACATGGATCAGTGCTAGAAAACTCCTTGAATAATAAAGAAATACAAGATTGGGTTAAGAAATTATGAGGATAAAATAACAGAGAAAATTTCACAATGATCATAAGTAGAATCTGAGAACATAAGAACAGATTGACCACAAGGACTCAAGAATGGAAGGAATGTTGGAAAGCTGAGAGAAGAGTTAGGGGATAAAATTAGAGAACTTGGGAAAAGAATAAATAGCTTAGAACAGAAGGCAAGAAAATGTACCTAAATGTGTTACCCCAAAAGATGAAAGAGAGACAATGCAACCCACCAATTCAATGAGACAATGGAAGAAATAGAAGTCAAAACAACAACTAGAGTATGTAGTTTATCTGCTATCAAAAAGGAAAATTCACCTAGAAAAGAAGATAGAGAACATTTAAGAATCCCAGTGTAGTCTGAAATTCATGATCAAACAAAAACGTTTGCACATTTTCAACAAATGTAAAAGATGAGAAAACCACATGACAAAGTAAAAATAGAATGCACATGTCACATCCCAAAGAACCTTCAAAATGAACACCCTCCAAAATGGCATGGATAAAATCTAGAGCTTCCAGGTCAGAGGAAAAATTACCGGCAATTAGGAAGAAGGTAAGCAAGTAGCTAGAACCACAGTCAGGCTCGTACAAGATTGTGCACTAATTATCAAAAATAAAGCTTAGAATCCAATATGTAAAAAAAAAAAAGAAAGAAAGAATCATCCTCCAAACTAAATATGCTTTGATGAGTGCAGGGAATAGACCTTTAACAAACACTTTATTTTTAATATCCATGTTGAGAAATGTAGATCGGTTAGAATCTTTGAAGTTTCATCCTGGAGAGAAGACAGCTCTAGAGAGGTAAACACATTTGAGCCACTTGAAGGGAGTAAATGATGATTAAGCGCTTGCATTAGAAGAGAGTGGGAAGACAGCTTTTCTCTTGTCTTCAAGGACTAAAGACAGAGATAAGAAAGACAAATGCAGGCCCTTGGTGTTCTTGTGTTCCTAGGAAATTTTCACTGGCTGTATATCCCCCATACCTAGAACTCTCTCACTCTTCATATCTGTTTCCTGGCTTCCCAGGCTCCCCTGGCTCCCTTCAAGTACCAGCTCAAATCCCACCTTCTGCACAAAGCCTTTGCTACCGTCTTTCCTCTGTTGATCATTTCTAGTTGCTCTTGCATGTCTATTTTTTGTATTTAGGCTTTTGCTATTAGACTCAATCCTTGAGAGCTGGGACAGCTTTTTGCCTTTCTCTGCATCTCCAGTACAAACAACAATGCCTAACATGCAGCAGGTTCTTAATGATTGCTTCTTGACTTAACTTGTTTCATCTGCTTTAAGAGAGTAAAGGAAAAGGAGTAATATACAAAAGGGAAATTGAGAGCATTCACTGAAAGCCCCCTTTTCTTTCCTGCTCTTCCATTCATATCACTCAGGTATCTTCCCTCACTGTCTCTTCCTCCTACCCTGCTGCATGTGATGAGGCAATCCTTCACTTTTTCAGGGTAAACCATCAGTATGGACCCTGGACTCCATTCCCTCTGATCTTCTCCAACAGATTACCCCCACTATCATTCTCTCTCTCTCTCTCTCTCTCTCTCTCTCTCTCACACACACACACACACACACACACACACACACACACACATTTCCAATTCATCTCTATCTGTGGGTGTCTCCCCTGCTCCCCACAAAGATGTTCATGTTCCTCTCATCCTTAAAAAAAAACCCCTGCAATTCCCCAATCCAGTCCATAAGCTTTTATCCCATAGCTTCCCCTGCCCCTCCCCAGAAAAACTTTCGAGAAAAAATGTGGACAGCAGGTGTCCCCCTTCCTTTTTCATTACTCATCTCTATTCTCTCTGCAAAGTCACTTCTGACCTCATCGTTTAGCTGAAATTGTTCTCCAAATCTTCAGATGATCTTGTAATTGTGAGATCTCAAGGCCTGTTCCTAATTCTCTTCCTTCCTGACCTCACTTCAGCCTTGAGCACTGTTGATAACCCTCCCCTCCTGAAGAGACTTTCAGGCCATCACTCTCTCTGGTTCTTCCCCTGTCTAGAGGACAGCTCTTTCTCAGTCTCCGTAGCTGGATCTTTCTCTAAGTCATGCCCAATAATCCTACCCTTCTCTTTTGCTTGCTCGCCCTGCCTTAAGTCTCCGTACATTCCAACCTATCTTCTACTCAGCCGTCAAAGTCATTTGCCTAAAGCGCGTAAGTTATCATGTCATCATCTACTCAAATAACCTCATCAGTTTGTGTTGTTGTTTAGTCGTTCTCACTCATGTCCTATTCTTTGCCACCTCTTCTGGGGTTTTCTTGGCAGAGATACGGGAGTGGTTTGCCATTTCCTTCTCCAACTCATTTTACAGATAAAGAAACTGAGGCAAAGGGGTTAAGTGACTTGCTAGAGTCACATAGCTATTAAGTATGAGACCGGATTTGAACTCAGGAAGATGAGCCTTCCTGATTACTGGGCCAGGGTGCTATCTAGTGTGCCACCTAGTCCTGTTATTGGGATTTAAATCCCAGCACAACCTGGACCCTTCCTACCTTTTCCATTTCCTTCCACTCTGATCCCCTCCAGCTACTCTGCGACCCAGTTACACTGGCCTGTATGCTGTTCCTCCTGACCCAACAGCTGTCACTCCTTCTTGGCATACTCCTCCTCTTCACCTCAGTTTCCATCTTTCTTCTGGACTAAGCTCAACTCTAACCTTCTGCAAGAGGCCTTTCCTACCCCCTCCAGCCCTCTTGTTCCTTCCTTTTGAGACCACTTTCTCAGTGGACTCAGTGTATAGTCACCTGCATAAGATCTTCCTCAGAATGCAAGCTGCTGCAGGGATCGGGCTTTGACTTTCTTCCTGGAAATCAAAGAATAGATCAACAGAAGTGAAAATGGAAGTAGGTAAAAAATGGTTCTTTGATAAAAATACCAATAAAGTAGATAAACCATTAACTACTTTAATTTTAAAAGAAAGGAAAACCAAATAACCAATAACAATGATGGAAATAACAAGAACTCAAGTCAAGGAGATAAGTGAATAGGCCAAAGGCCATTTTGCCCAGTTATATGTGAGGATTGTATAATGGATGGTGAGGGCAGCTACATAGTACAATGGATAGAACCCCACGCCTGGAGGCAGGAAGCTTCATCTCCCTGAGTTCAAACCTAGCTGCAGACACACTAGCTGTGTACCCTGGGCAAGTCACTTAACCCTCTTTCCCTCAGTTTCATTATCTGTAAAATGAACTGGAGAAGGAAATTGCAAACCACTCCAGTATCTCTGCCAAGAGAACCCCAAACAGGGTCACAAAGAGTTGGACATAACTGAAATGAATGAACAAGAACCATAAAAATAGTGGATACTGGATAGCTAGTAATACCTCCATTCAAATCTTACCTCTGACATATTTTCTTTCTCACCCTCAACAAATCACTACTTAGGCTAAAATGCTGACTTGAATTGGCAGAAATCCATTTCTCCAACCAAGGTGTTTTCTTTACCAATAAAAGCAGAAGTTCAGTCCCTAAATGCCAACATAATTGATCATCTAAATGAAATGATTTAATAGATAGAGGATCATACAATATTCAGATTATCAAAGTAAGAAATAGATAATGTTCTTGTTCTATCTCTGTTTCAACCTAATCTTTAGAAAAAGGAATGGGTAGAGAGGGAACAGGGATAGAGAGAACTCCAAGTGAATAATACCAAATATTCAAAGAAGAATTAATTCCAGTATTATATGGGTGTTATATATATCTTAAATAGAAAAATCAATAATCTTACCAAACTCCTATGAGATGAATATAAACTGGACACCTAAGACAGTGCACAAGAAAGGCAAAAAAGAGAAAGTTACTTCTGAGCATCTCTGATGAATATAATGTGAAAATATTGAATACAATTTTGATAAGGATATTTGCTCAACCCTTAGCCCAGTGTCTGGCACATAGTAAGTAATGCTTTCAAATGCTTATTTCTTTCCCTGCTTACTATCAAGGTGGATTTATAATCATAACACTGGAGCCAACAGAACCTACTAATAATATGTGGAGGGAAATAAAACCAAGTCAAAAGACTTAGCACTTAGAGTGTATGTGTATCTACTAACAAAAATAAATAAGTAGACATAAAACCCTTATCTGTAAAAGGAGATTAAGAGGAATAATTTAAGAATCCTTGGGTGGTCTGAAATCCGTGCCCAATCAAAACTGTTTGCACATTTTCGATGAAATGTAAGAGTTACAACAGACACAAGGCAAAGCAAAAACAGAAAGAATGTGTATGACTCATCCTAAAGATCACCCAAATTAAACACACTCCAAAATGGTGCACACCAAATCCTGAGCTTCCAAGTTACAAAGAAAAATCCTTGCCAACAACTGGGTAGAAAGCAAGCAAGTAGCTAGAGCCACAGACAGGCTCCTGCGAGATAAAACAGTAATTACTGAAAAGAAGGCTTGGAGTTCACTATGTCCAAAACATTATCATCAAAAGCCATGTATCCTCCAAAAGTAAATATAATTGGACTTTAGGGCAGTTGGAAATCTGGTCTCATCTTAGGTCTACCCCTAGGACCCCAGCCCTCAGCACCTACTCCAATAGAGACAAACACCTTCATTCATCTCTTTATCTTGATGATTTCAAATCCTAACAGCTGTTCAAATGTGAATGTAGACAGGGTCTAGGAAGTTCACAAGAGGAAGGAACACATTTAATTCTACTTCTAGCTTGATTATCAGCACCCCAAAAATGGCTATTGTAAGCTGGATACTCCACTCTCTGAGATTCCCTCAGCCTTTCCAGTGACTCATAAGATTGCTCCTCCAACAAATACTCTTGTCATCCTGTACGCTGACCCTGTGAACAGGAGCAGATTGCCTTAAGGAGAAGGAACCTCACCTGGAATGACAGACTTGGTGATGTTATTTTGCCCTCTGGCTCTGGAGGAACCTTCAGAAGCCTCTGGTTAAAAGTGAGACTGGAGCAAATACCATCAGGATGATGCAGAAGCACCGTGGCTTCCTGTCTAGATGTCACTGGCCAATCAGAGCCCGGGCACTTGGGAGTCTTCCTCAGAGGAGATTGCTTCAGCATTTCCCCATTACAACACTCATGTCCTTCTTCCTCTTTTATTTTATGAGCTGCCCTTTCCTTCCACGGGTGAATGTTCTCAGTTTCATGGACCACTTTGCATCAGTCTTTACTTCCCTCCCCACCCCCATGGCCGATAGACCAGCATTCCTCTCCTGGCACCCACCTGTTCTTCTCGTCTGACAACAAGGAATGGTATCTTCTGCCTCTGTGGGTCTTCCACCTCTTAGATACATACAACACAATGTTTGTCATCAGCTACCAGAAAGTTCCGGCGTGTCTATTCCATTTCCAAAGTCCCTCCCCACCCAGCCACCCCCGAGATGGAACTCTCCAGACAGCTTCGTGATTACGGATGGATGTATGACAGAAACAGAGACAGAGAGACAAAGACACAGAGATGGAGACAATCAGAGAGAAAAATAGAGATAGAGGCAAAAAGGAAGAGATATAGAAAAACAGTTATCAAAAGAGAGACAACCAGACAGACGGACAAGTAGTCAGGTAGGTAGGCAGACTGAGACATTGACAGAGAGACAGAGACAGAGACAAAGAGGGGGTGAAATAAACAGAAAGACAGAGACAAAAATATGGAGATATAGAGGCAAGCAGAGATAGAGGCAGAGACAAAAAGGTAGAGACATAGACACATTAAGCAACAGAGGGGGGGAGAGAGAGAGACAGAAATAGAGAGAGAGAGAGACTAGCATATAGAGACAAAGATAGAGACCGAAACAAAAAGGCAGAAATATAGACAGATATCAAGAGAGAGACAGAGAGACAAATAGACATATAGGCAGGCAGGCAGACAGAAAGAGATAGTAACAGAGAGAGACTGAGACAGAGAGACACAAAGATAGAGAGGGAGACAAAGAGAAGAAAGAGACAAAGACAAACAAAAATAGAGAGATATAGAGACAGAGAAAGAGGCAGAGACAAAAAGGCAGAGACATAGACAAACATTAAAAGAGAGGGAGAGAGACAGAGACAGAGAGAGAGAGAGATACTCTTTCCTATTTTCACCCAACATGTGATGCTTAGTAGGCACTTGACAAATACTATTGATCGATTAATATATGTGTGGGACATTCCTTTTATTGGTTAGTTTCCTTAGGAGATTGAGTAACGCTAAGATTTTAATTCCTCACAATCATATGTAAGCATAACTTTCTGAACACTATATCCTCTAGAATATGACTAGTGAAAACCACAGGGGAAAGAAAATCACTGTTTTCCTTAACTTCAAAATATAAATTCATGTTGCTATGAAAGAAGCCACATTTTGATGTGGGGAAAAGTGTGCTGCACTTGAAGTTAGTTAAGACCTGGTTTCAAATTCCAACCCTGAGCTGTGAGCTGATCCAAACATTCTGGAGAACAGTCTGGACCTATACCCAAAGGGCTATAAAACTGGGCATACCCTTTGATTCGTCAATTCCATTGCTAGGTCTATATTCCAATGGTATTTATAAAAAGGGAAAAGGACTTTTTGTACAAAAATATTTATAGCAGCTCTTTTTGCAGTGGCCAAGAATTGGGAATCAAAGGGATGCCTATCAATTGGGGAATGGCTAAACAAGCTGTGGCATATGATTGTAATGGAATGTTATTTTACTCTATGAAATGACAAACAGGATGATTTCAGAAAATCCTGGAAAGACTTACATGAACTGATGCAGAGTGAAGTGAACAGAACCAGGAGAATGTTGTACACAGCAGCAATATTGTTTGATGAATAACTATGAATGACTTAGCTATTCTCAGCAATACAATGATCCAAGACCATCCCAAAGGACGAATGATGAACCACACTATTCACCTCCAGAGAAAGAACCGATATTGTTCAAATACAGACTGAAGCTGCTATTTTCCACTTTCTTTCAATGTTTTTTCTTTTGTTTGAGTCATCTTGTACAAAATGACTAATATGGAAATGTTTTACATAATTGAACATGTATAACCTCTACCTGATTGCTTACCATCCATGGAAAGTGGAGGGGAGGGAGGGATAGAATTTGGAGTCAAAACTTTAAATAATTTTTTTTAAACTCCATCCCTGGTGCTTACTGACTTTGCGAACTTCGGAGAGTCTCATAACTTCTGTGAGCCCCTGTTCCCACTTCTGGGTTCTGATTAGCCAATGACAGCTCCTCAGGAGCTGTCTACATGCTTCCCATAACTCTCGCTCAGGCCCCAACTCTAACCAGAAGCTGAAGGAAATAGTTCCAGGAAAGAGCAGTATTCCCAGACCTATGCCTCCAAGTGAGCATTGGAATAGTGTCAAACAATCCTCCAGGTAAGACATGCCAAGTAACAAAACCAACTAAAAAATGATTCACAATCACTAACAATAAACAAAATGTACATAAGAGCAGCTTTGAAGCATTACCACACACTTCTCAGGTTACAGTGATGGTTAAAAATAGAAAGGGACATGGCACAATTGTGCAATTGCTCTGGCAAGACAGGCATGCTAATTGACTGCCAATAGAACTGTGAATTGGTCTTGTCATTCAGAAAAAGGTGGCTATTATGAAAGAGAAGTTACTAGCTTCTTAATGTCCTTTGATCCAACGAACTCATTACTGGGGTTTACCCTCATGGAAGTCAATGACATCAAAAAACAATGAAGACATGAAAATGGTCTTAGCAATACTCTTTGTTATTGCAAAATCTAGAAAATAGTTCAACAGCTAGGGAATGGGTGGGGAACAGGTGTAATATATAAAAAGACTGGGGGATGGGTAAAGTGTTCCAATCATGACAAAAACGGAGAATTCATGGGGAGAATGAGAAAACATAGGAAGTGCAACAGAGGGAAGGCAGGAGAGCCGAAAGAGCAAGAAACACCTTGGTGATGATGGTGTAAATGAAGACAATGGTAAAAGGTAGCAATGCTTGAGTTGAGTGCACTAGACAATGTTGGGACCAAATTTTTAAGTGCAAGTTTCTACCCTTCCTTTCTGCTAAGCAAACTATGAAACTGGAAAATTCTAATATAAAGTCTTGTATATGTTATGTCTTAACTGGAGAGGGGTAACTGTGAGGGGACTTGGCAAGGCTGTTTATTGTGAAGTACGTGCTACAGAAGATAATTTTTTTAAAGAATCAATATGCTTTAAAAAAATATGCTTATAGATGTGTTTTGTGTTTTAACTCTACTCTCGTAATACCATACTCATCAAAGAGTAGCAGCAGGACCCCAGAAGACAGCAATGGTCCTCCAGGTCCCAGAGGTCACATATATTGCCTCCTCATAAGCCATCTCTCTACTTGCTCACTCCCTTTCTTCCCTTTCCAGTTGTGGGCATATTTACTGGGACAATATGCCATAGGACTGGGGGTTAGTGTTCTACTTAAATCCTCTCACCGTGCTATTCCAATAAAATGTCTTCATTCTGGCTTACGTCTTTTGGTTGAATATTTAAAGATAGACACATGGGTGGGGGCTTCTGAGCAACAGTTTTGGCAGTGGAGCCCACAGAGGACACTGAATCTGAGGCAGTCAGACTCCCTAGGGAAACCCAACTTTCAGTCTGAGTTGCAACCCAGAGAGGCACTACAAATGGAGCAATAGAAATTCTCTTCTGTAGGGGAACCTCATGACTGAAAGAAATGAAAAATCTCGGGGAGGTCCACTCTAAACTCATCTCTGAGCCTCATCCCATAGCCTGAACCTGGACATCTATCCACAAACTGACTCCCAGACAAGCTTCTCAAGCCCACAGCATTGTGTTTCCTGATTCACCCACCCCTATTCCAAATTTGCCTATTTCTGTCCCAATTGAATGTAAACTCATTGAGGGCAGGAACTGCTTCATTTTTACTTTGTATACCTAGATCCCAGTACCCAAGGTTTAACAAATTATTATTAATTGATTGACTGACCCGTAAAGTCTAAAGGCAGATTGCTACAAAGTTTAGGGGCAAACCAAGTGGCTTGCCCTGGATTATCCAAGGCATTGGATACTCAACTACCTCCACCATCCTATAACAGACACTAATTGGCCCCATGAAACTGCTGTTATGACTTCAGTGTCTCTGTGGGGCTCAGAAAACTGGACATATGGTACAAGAGGGAGGGGGCTTTGAAGTGTCTACCTTCACAAATAGGAAAGCCAGTGAGTTAGGATACTGTCCTGTTCCTTTCTGTTAGGGATTCCTCTGGTGTTCCTTAGGATTGGCCACACATGGGACTAGTTTTGAAGGAGGAAAGAAAGACCAATCACATGAGAGTCTTAGGTAGGGTGATTAACCCCAGCTGGTCCTAGACCCACTTCAAGTCAGGGGATTCAGTCACAGCTGGCTGTTCAGGAACAAGTCAGACCTGGGAAAGTAGACTTGGAAGCCAGGGTGGTGATGGAACATCAGAGAAACATGAGCAGAGCCAAGAGGAAATGTGAGAAATCCCCTAAGATACTTGCATGAGCTCTACCTCACTGGAAGCTCCAACAGCAGACTGCAGAGGATTCTCCAATTTCCCGGAAGCATTAGCTCTAGAACTAGAGGAAATTGTTATTCCTCGGAGTGAAGGAAACCCCTTTGCGAGGTTCATCTGTGACTTTGCTCTGGCAGGGAATGGAATGGAAGGGAGTTGGCATTTTCTGAATGGCCTCTGAAAGGGATGGCCAACTGTGTGGTGAATTGTAAGGGTCAATGTAAAGGAGGGCACCAAATGAGTCATCATGGAGGTGAGAAGCAGGGCTCCCAACGGCTGAGTGGTGCTGGAGAGTAGGAAGAACAGTGAACTTGGAGTTAAGAAGATTTAGATTTGAATCCTGCCTCAAATGTTTGCTAGATCAGTGATCCTGGGCAAGTCACCTAATTTGCCTGGGCCTCAGTTTCCTCACCTGGAAAATGAGAAGAGTCATAGCCCCTACCTCACTGGGCAGTAATGAGGATTGAATTAGATGATGTATATGAAGAGC